GCAAGGATTAGACTTAGCACTTGACAAATCATCCAACTATAATATTTTCATCTAGAGTTGAGTCTGAAGCTGACTGAAATGGCCATGTCAGGAACAGTACTGTGTAATGTCACAGTGGAGCCACTTAGGAGAATTCCTAATATGGTCGGGACATTCTTGAGATGCATGGGATAGCCCATTCGTATGGTATCATCCAAGATGGGAATGCAGCTATAACATGTCAAGTGACAGGATCCACAGAGCACTTCTTTTCTGTTATTTGTCAGACTATGGCCTCGTTGCCTGATAATGGTAGTTCTTTCTTCCTTCTTTGCTTCATTTTTCAATAGCAAATCTTTGGACTCTGAACTGGGAAGTTCCTTTCCCGCTTGAAAGTCACATATTCTTAGAGTTGGAAGGGACCTCAATAATTAACTTAATCTGAACCCTGGCATTTTTGCACATGAGAAAAATGAGACACAGAGAGATTAAACAATTTGGCCGCAGTCATCCAGATAATTACTGAACTCTCCAGCCCCCCTAGACTCCCCGTTCCAAATGGGCAGAATGGAAGCCTCCCTCTTCCTTTTAGTCTATTTGCCAAAAGTTAGTCTTTTTTCACGTTATGAAGCCACTTGGAAATAACCTAACTCCTTTGAAAGAAGAAACAACATGTTTTACTCAGCAAACTTATTTTTGTTTTTTTCCAAGTGGGTCTTCATTCTAACCCAGTGTGACTCCCCTTTCTTCTGAGAGAGCTTTCACGGCACCGTGTGACATCTCTCTAATGGCCGGTGCTGCCCAGCTGGATGTCTGCAGAACAGTTACAGCAAAGCCCCATGCACTTTGGAGCATGGCATTGCCTCCGAGTTCAGGAAAGGAGAGATGCTAGAAACTGGTCAGCCTCTTTGCCTGAGCCCTTGGAACGGATGATACCAGGAACTTCTCCAGAAGCAACCATTTATCAAAATGAAACTTTTGAAAGGATCCTTGATTCTTGAAATTAAAAATCTCACACTAGAGTCCTAGGACTGAGCACCCCTGTGACTCCTGAGACCTGCAGACTTTGCTGCCGCTGGAGGGTGGGCGTGGGGTCGGTGAGGTGGTCCCTGGAGCCTGGCCCAGCCACGGAATGCATGGGAGACTTGAAAATGAGTTTGAGTGAGAAGAGGGAAACTTACCGTTTACTGTCTCAGCTTGTGGGGAAAGGATTCGGGAGCCTTGTGCTCGGGAAACATAATGTCTGCTTAGTCCTTTCTCTCTACACTTTCCCCCAACAAAATAATGGTCTGGGTGTGGGGTTGGGAGGGGCGGGAGCAGGTGGTAAGCTTTGCTCTGGCTCTGTTGTGTGTGCTCTGAGACTAAGTGCTGGGGTTTCGAAAGCCAAAACCCTTTTCTCTGCTCCTGCTGGAACATCTCTTCTGTGAGGCGGTGGACACTACAGGATCCTCCTTCTGGAAAAGGGGGGGTGGGTCTCAGGGGATAAGACGAGGAGGGCGAAACATCAATTACTAGCTCAAAGCCGAATCCTGCTACATTTGTAAGAGCTCAGTTAAAGGAAAACAGGGACTGTTTAGTAGAATGTTCTCAATCTGAGCTGTTTCCAAGAGCAATAAATGAGTGCTGTTATCTGAGCTAAGCACACAGAATGATAAGAAAATGCATCCTGGTGGATTATCCTCAAATCTTTGGAGTAAACAGAATTTTTTTCTTGCTGTAGCAAAACTTAATTCTGTACCAAAATGGTCATAGAATATTGGAATTTTATGGGAACTCAGAGATGATGTGTGCTGGGTCTTCTCTGTCTTCCCAGATCTAGTCTTCCCCCTACTCCACATTGTTCTGAGCCCTGGGACACTGATCTCCAAGGATCACATCTGTGCGCTTACCTGCCCTCTGGCTTCTCCTTGGATTTGGCCATTAGGAGGTACCCACTTCACCATCCTTTGACAGTTTTCCTTAACCCTGTCCATGACTTGTAAATAATCCCTTTCATTAAAACTCCCATTTGAGTGTGTAATCTCTGGGACCCTAAATATGACTGTTTTACAGATGAAGAAACTGGCGTACAGAGCGGCCCACTGGCTTCTCCGGTGGTATCTCTTTTCTGCTCCTTTTCCCTGCCATGGTTGAATATTTGTAAATCGAGACCCCAGGACCCTGGAATGCTGGCCTGGGGATGAGGGAGCTGTAGTCTGCTCTGCTCTAATGTGATGGCACATTTCTAAGAATTGTCCTTTTACTTAAAGATGGTATTTTACATGATATATACATATGATGGAATAGTATTCAGCCTTTAAAAAGAAGGAAATCCTGTCATTTGCAACAACATGGATGAACCAGCCAGTCCTTCATAATTCCACTTATAAGAAGTGTCTAAAGTATTCACACTCATAGAGCAGAAGGTAGAGTGATGGCTGCCAGCGGCTCAGGGGGGTGGAAAAGGAAAGTTGCTGTTCAATGGATATAAGTTTCATTTATACAAGATGGACAAGTTCTAAAGATCTCCTATACCACACTGTGCCTATAGTTCACAAAACTGTATTATACAGCAAAAGTTTGTTAAGTGGGTAGATTTCTCTCTTATTTTTTTAAATTTTTTTATTGTTATGTTAATCACCATACATTACATCATTAGTTTTTGATGTAGTGTTCCATGATTCATTGTTTGCGTATAACACCCAGTGCTCCACGCAGAACGTGCCCTCTTTAATACCCATCACCAGGCTAACCCACCCCCCACCCCCCTCCCCTCTAGAACCCTCAGTTTGTTTTTCAGAGTCCATCGTCTCTCATGGTTCATCTCCCCCTCCGACTTACTCCCCTTCATTCTTCCCCTCCTGCTATCTTCTTCTTTTTCTTTTTTAACATATGTTGCATTATTTGTTTCAGAAGTACAGATCTGTGATTCAACAGTCTTGCACACTTCACAGCGCTCACCATAGCACATACCCTACCTAATGTCTATCACCCAGCCACCCCATCCCTCCTACCCCCCACCACTCCAGCAACCCTCAGTTCTCTCTTATTTTTTTAATCATACACACAGAATAAGAAGCAAAAAAAAAAAAAAAAAGAGGTATTTTAATAGGTTAAAAAGTCACTGGGGAAAGGACACACCTCGGGGAGGACTCTGTCCATGAGGGGGTGGCTGGGCTAGTGGAAAGTCAGGAAATGCCTTCTTAGTCCATTGGGGAAGCACCTGTGTCAGGGCCTGGCTGGAGGAGGGGGGCTAAATTTAATCCCCGCTGTCAGCCCAGAGCCTTGAGCACTCATCTCCCTACTTCAATGTGTGTGACTGGTCAACATTTCTGGTCATGCTTTTGACCGTGTGTGTGTGTGTGTGTGTGTGTGTGTTTGAGTGTATAAAAGAGAGAGAGAGAGAATGAATTTGCATTTTTCCTTTTATGAACTTTCCTAAGTTCTCTGAGGTCTTTTTTTAACCTCTCATATTTCACTGATTCTAAGACAAGTTTTATTTTTCTCACATTTTGAAACTGGTACCAGAATGTGCCCACAACCAAAAGCATCTTTTGTTGCAGTTGGTCAGGTGGTAGTTGTGCTGTAATTGCATCGCTTGGGCGTGTGTGAACTTGGTAGTTCTGGTAGCCTGACAAGACAACTGAAACCCCTATTGTTTCAGTCAGTGATCCATTTGATGACCATCTGAGAAAGGAATGCAAGTCCTCAGTGTTGACTGAAATCTTCTGGCATCTATTAGTAAGATTTTCTTGCCAACACTTGTGGATAAGTATCAGAAGCTTAGAAGAAAATCCTGAATATAATACTTGAGCACTTTTTTAGGAAATGCTGCATTACTAAAGCTCTTTGTGGCAGAGAGGACAATATTGTGGGGGAAGACACACTCCCTGAATATCGTGTCAAATGTGATTCATAGAGTGGCTTCTGAATGCGAATACCTAAACCAAAGTAAATTTGCACACCTAACCAATTCATTCCACTTTTCATGTTTTCCTTTTTTATGGATATGATAAAACCCAGGCCTTACATAAGTCCAGTAGAGCTCTTTCAGTAAGTATGAAATAAAAGTTCTAAATCATAGTGTATCACAGTTTAATGTGCAGCTGGTTTTTTCTTCCTTGTTGTCATATAAAACAGCATTGTCTCTTACCATCAGTGAATCTTAACCATCAATGATATGTGGTAGGAAAGTAGGAAGTCTATTAAATTAGCAGCATGAATCAAAAGATGAGCTAGAAAGCTAGGGGTGAGGAATGAGTTTAGAAATTCTTTTACTGTATAGATATTTATTAAGTTTTACTGTGAGACCAGGGGCTGGACGAGGCATAAGGTTATAGCTGTGAACAAAACAGCCGTGATCCCTGGGCTCACAGGGAAGACAAGATCTACTGAATTAGTAGTTGCATGCATGATATTATAGAAAAGTGCGGGCTTCTTTGGAATTGTAAATAGGGGAACTTAAGATGGTGAAGGGGAGCAGATGGCTGACTGAGGAAGTGACACTTGAGTGTAGAATGGAAGGACAAGTAGGAGTTAGTCAGGTAGAGGTGAGTGGGGAAGGGGGAGGGGTAATCCTGGCAGAGGGAGAGAGCAGTGTGTATGAAAGCAGGGAAGTGGCAAAGAAGGAGAAGCTGAAGGAAGTGCGGTGTAGCTGGAGAACGGACGGTGGTACAGAGATGAGAAACAAAGCTAGAGAAGTAGGTGGGCCTCAGATGATGGAGGGCTTTATAGGACATGACGAGGAGGTTGCCCAAAAGTAAGAGGAAGCTGTGGAAGGGGTTTCAGGAGGGGTGTAGTATGTCGTGCTCAAATTTTAGAATTGTCGTTCTGGCTGCTGTGCAAAAATGGAATGCCGTAGGTCAAGGGCAGTAGCCGTCCTCACTTGATTCGAGGGAAGGAAGTTGGAATGGGCAGAAGTTATCAAATGATGCAGGGGAATTCTGGAGCAAGCGATAGTTCCCATCACTGGTTGCACTCCTCAGATATTCTATCCTTAGTTCCTGATAACCTAAGACAATAACTTTCTTTGTTTTCAACAGAGTGACTTCTTCTGACTTGAGCCTACAGCGTGCTTTGAGAAATCTGCCACCAGGTAAATACAGAACAAGAGTTTTCAGGTTGATAAGCCACACTTCTCTCGCAAGACTCCCCAAGACCTAAATTCAACATCTTATTTAATCCTTGCAATAACCCTATGAGTCAGGTGTTGCCTTATTTCGATCTTGTACATGAGGAAATTGAGGAACAGAGAGGTTAGGCAACTTGGTCAACATGCACAAAGATGTTTATCGCCGCATAAATTATAATAGCCCAATGAAACAAAGAGGAGAGACTCTAAACATCCAAGAGTAGTTAAATTGTATCAAATCAATTATGGTACATCATTTGATGGAGGTACTTTACCAATATTCTTTATCAGATTAAGAAGTTTCTTTCCTACTCATAGTTTGTTAAAAGTAAATTAGTTAGTTCACCTGTACATTGAATTTTATTGAATGATTTGCTAATCTACTGAGGTGATCAAGTGACTTTTATCCTTTAATAAAAATTTTGTTCATGGTGATTTACATTAATTGATTTTTTAATGTTAAGCTACCTTGCATTGCTAAGATAAAAACCAGCTTGGTCATGATACATTTTTGTACTCAGTGAGATGTAGTTTGTTGTACTCAGTGAGATGTAGTTTGTTAAATTATAGTCCTGAGATTGGCTAAAATTTTCCTGCCTAGTATTTTCGCTGTCAGGAATGGTTTTCAAAATATTAGAATTACTGGCTACTTGAATGTGTGATGAAATTTGACACTAGAACAGTTTGGGTGTGGAATTTTTTTGAGGGAAGAATTTTCATCTACTGTTTTAATTTCTCATTTATTTAGATTTTCTATTTCTTCTTGAGTCAGTTTTGGTAAGTTTTGGTTTTGGCTACATACACACATTTCTGTTGGCTTTGTATGCAAGAGGGGAATTTCTGGGTCTTGGTGTAGGAATATGTTCAGCTTTAGCAGACTCTATGAAAGAATTTTTCAAAATGGTTGCATTGATTTAAAAATTTTCATCTCAATCAGGAATATGTGATGGTTCTGATTTTTCATATTTTTCCAATACAAGGTATTTTCTGTTTTTGTTAGTTTGACTGGTTGTTTTTTTATTTAAGCTCTACTGGTGGGTGTGTAGTATCATATTGTAGTTTTAATTTGCATTTCCCTATAGACCAGTGAAGTTAAGTACATTTTCATATGTTAATTGACTGTTCATATATCTTGTTTTATGAAAGTCCTTCTCAAATATTAAAAAAATTGTGATTATTCATGTTTTTTGAAAAAAAATTGAGTTGTCTTATTGATTTATAGACATTTTTAATAATATGTATTCTGGATTTGAGCTTTTGCTGGGATATATGAGTTGTAAATATCTTCTCTTTTTCCTGTGGTTTACCTTTCACTCTCTTTTTAATGAACAGAAATTCCTTTAAAATGGTACAAATTATTTGGTTTTTTGTTTGTTTGTTTTTTCCTTTGTGGTTGGCACTATTGTGTCCTATTTAAGAAATCTTGGCCTTATTTCAAGATCAGAAAGATGTTTTCTTTTTCCTTCTGAAAGCTATATTATTCTTTTACATTTTGATCTATAGTACATCTGCAGTTGATTTTATTGTGTATGATGTGAAAGAGAGGGTCAAGATTAACTTTTCCTATGTGGATACACACTTGACCAAGCACCATCCTTTGGCCATAGTACTATTTATCTATTTATTTATTTTGGTTAGGCTTCCTGAGGAATAATCAACACAGTAAAATTCTCTCTCTTGAAATTTATGGTTTGATAAGTTTCAACAAATGTATACAATCATGTAACCACCACCACAGTCATAATGCTATAGCCAACAACTGAAAGAGTGTTCCTTCGTAGTAGATCTACTTTCCCTACCTGCAGCCCTTGACAACTACTGATCTGATTTCTGTCCCAGAATTTTTCTTTATTCATAATATGTAAATGAAGTTGTAGAGTATGTAGATTTTCATTTCAGACTTCTTTCACTTAGCATAAAGTTTTTGAAATTTATGCGTGTTTTTGCCTGTATCAGTAGTTTGTTCCTTTTTATTGCTGAGAGGAATTCCACTGTGTGGATGTACCACGATGTGTTTATCCATTCACCAGTTGATGAACATTTGGGTTATTTATAGTTTTTGGCTATATGAATAAAGCTACTGTAATCATTAGTTAATGGGTCTTTGATAGATTTATGTTCTCATTTTTCTTGGTTAAGTTACTAGCAGTCAGATTATTAGATCACGTGGTAAATATAGCAACTGTATGTTTAATATTATTTGAGAAAAATCCCTCTGGCTGTTTCAAAAGTGACTTGTTTCATTTTGCATTCCAGTCAGCAATATGTGAAAGTTTTACTAGCTCCACAGCCTCCCAGCACTTGGTATTAATAGGCTTTGTAATTTTAGCAATTTGAGTTGGTATACAGTGGTACCTCATTGTAGCTTTCATTCTCATTTCCCTAGTGATTAATAATGTTGAACACCTTTTCATGTGCTTCTTTTTTTTTTTAAAGATTTATTTATTTATTTATTTATTTGAGAGAGAGAATGAGATAGAGAGAACATGAGAGGGGGGAGGGTTGGCGGGAGAAGCAGACTCCCCGCTGAGCAGGGAGCCCGATGTGGGACTCGATCCCAGGACTCCAGGATCATGACCTGAGCCGAAGGCAGTCGCTTAACCAACTGAGCCACCCAGGCGCACTTTTCATGTGCTTCTTTACCGTCTGTATATCTTCTATGGTGAAGTGTCTGTTCAAATTGTTCACCTATTTTTAAACTTACGTTACCTATCTTTCTGTTACTGATCTATAATTGAATATATTGCGGATGCAAGCCCTTTATCAAATATGTGCTTGCAAATATCTTTTCCCAGTCTGTGACTTGTTTTTTTCATATTCTTGAAAGTGTTATTAAAAGGGCAGAACTTTTTAATTTTCATGAAATTCAACTTACCAATTTTTTTCTTTTATGGGTATAAGTTTTTTGTCCTAAGAAATCCTTCTTAAAACCAAGAATACAAATATGTTCTTTTTTTTTTGTAGAAATTATATAGTTTTAAATTTTATATTTAGTTATATGATACATTTTGAGGTAATTTTTGTATCTGGTATGAGGTAAAGGTCATGGTTCACATTTTTATATGGACGTCTAGATTTTCCAGTACTGTGTGTTAAAAAAGCTATTCCTTTGTCCTCTTTAATTACCTTAGCACTTTTTTCTTTCTCCTCCTCCTCTGGTGCTCTAATTACATGCCTATCAGACTTTTTGATATTGTTCTATAGCTCTTGGATACTTAAAAAAAAATTCTCCTTTCTCTTTGGATAATTTCTATTGATCAATCTTAAAGTTTACCGATTCTTTCAATGTGTCCTGTCTCCTCATCAGCCTAGCAAAGGAAACCTTTACTTTTGATATGCATTTTTTATTTGTAGAATTTCTCTTTGTTTCCTATAGTTTCCACGTCTCTACTGATTTTCTCCATCTTTCCTTGCATTTTATTCTTCTTTTCCATGAGCACCTTTTACATATTAATCATAGCTATTTTAAAATTTCAGTCTGAGTGTTCCAAAATCTGAGTCATCTCTGTCTAGTTGCTCTATCTTGACAATGGGTTGTTTTTCCTTAGTTTTAAAAACATGTCATAATTTTGGTTGAATGTTGAACATTGTTTATAGAAAAGTAGTAAATAATAAAGTAAATAATATTGCTACCCAGAAATGGTACACTTCTTCTTTAGTAAGGTGATTGATGTGAGGGTTTGTGTTAATCTTGTTAGCAGATGACAAGATCAGTGGTTAGTAGGGAGGGGTTGGGCTCCTGGTTGCTGGAGTTATCTTCAGCCCACCAGACTCCAGCATTCTCCCGTGGTGGCCTATAGTTACCTTACGCTTAGTGTGGCTGGTGTGCCAGAGGGTTTTTCTCACTGTCCAAAATCCATCCTCAGCTTTCAGTAGACCCACCACACCTGCTCCACTGAAGGGATCTCTCTCCATGTTGGTGCTCATCTAGAAGTAGACTGTTCTTGCCCTGTGCTCAGTGTAATGCAGTGGCTGTGGTGGAGGGGTTGTCCGTTTTCCTGGTCCAGCCTCAGTCTTGGGCAGGCCTTGTGTGTCTGTACTTCAGGACCTGGTCGTTGTCCCTGTTCCTGCTCCTCTTCATGGCAGTCAACCTCTGCCTCGTGTCTGTGGGTGTCTTGGGGAGAGAGGGCTTCCTGCCCCTCCCTGAGTGATAGCAGACCTCTTTGTGTCAGTACCAGACTCTAGGTCTGAGAGTTTTTTTGTCTTTCCATCAGGGCAGATAGCTTTTGCTTCTGCCCTTCTCAAGAATCAGTGGATCTTTGCTTGGATCTTGGGAGTGGGAAGGTTTTCTGCTCCTCTCCCAGTGGTTTAAAGCTCTTGCTTAATGTGGAATAAAGTTGTGGGAAATGGACAGGTTTCTTGCCTGTGCCCTTCTAAAGGATCACTCTTCAGTCTCTGACCCTGCCCTTAATCTTTCTCAGGAGTAGCGCCAGAAACCTATGGGAGAAGAAGCTTGAGAAAGGCTCCCAGGGATTCCATACTGTCATGCTCGCACACACTAGCCCCTTAGGATTCATTAACATTTTGGCTGTTTTCTTCTTCCCTGCTTTTATGATGGCCACTCCCTCCTACTGCACTCTGTCAAAGGTGACAGTCTGTGTGTCCCGTCTGTCCTTGGAGATCCATGCCATTCTCTAAATTAGTTCACCTGGCTGTCTTGTAACCTTAGCTCTCTGACTGGCTCAATACAAGTTACGCTTCTGTTGATTATACAGCTTTTTCTGTGGCTTTCTGTATCTTCAGTGGATGCAAAAAGATGTTGCAGCTTTTTAAGCACCACTGGTCTTAAAGGAAAATTTGGGTAAATGAAAATGCCAGTCAGAAATGGATGAAAGCCGAATCAAAAGAAGACCATAAAACCACAATCCAAAACTTAATGGGAAAACTGAGAGGCTTCAAGTGTTCTTCTTCTCTTGGGTTGGCATTCTTCTTTCTCAGGAAGTAACTGCCTGCAGTGGCAGGAA